ATTATAAAGGCTCACAGCATTATAGATGCAGGTGCAAGTGCTACCAATAAATAATATTTGATGGTTAGGGGTTAGTTAAGGTTAGAGTGAGCCTCTTGTCTCCCTACAGCTCTGTGCACACTGTGTACTCTGTAAAAATACCTCTAGAGAGCACCAGACAATACCCACAGCTTCAGTCTTTTTACCCCAGGGAGAGCACAGTGAGCTGGGCTAAGCACCGGTAGTCCCCCTTGGAGGATGGAGGGTAGTGGTCCCACAGCAATTATCAGTGTGGAAGATGTTGTAAACAGGATTCACCTGATGTAAACCTCCACACAGTTATGCGTCACCTCAGAGGTAACATTGTGAAAAGGAGAAGAAAATCTGACATTTTCTTGTGATGAGACAATCAATCTGAATAATGTCCCTTTTCAATACCAGGTTGTCTGTGAAAAGTTAATACCAGGTTGTCTACTCCTCTGTTAATTTAGGCGCCTAGAGCCAAATCTCAGCGTAACGGTCTGTCACGAGAGACACCTCCTCTGTTAGTGGACTTCTCTACTCCGTAGACTCCATGACAGAGGACCAATTTGATGTGTATGGCTGCACTAGTAACACCCCTGACCAGTTTCATAACTGTGTTGATACGGTTGATACGGTCAGTCACAACCAGTGTTCTCAAAAACAACTCAAACCCTCGTCAAACCATGTGCATTGTCACCACCCACCCACACCACACACACACACACACACACACACACACACACACACACACACACACACACACACACACACACACACACACACACACACATAGCAGTTGCCTGCCACCAACATGCACGCATGGATGCAAACGCACAAGCTTTGTAGGTCTGTCCAACTGACATTCAATGCCCAAAATAACATTCCTGGAAACAGGCAAACAGGGGAGACTCAACAGCCTCTGTGGAGCGCAGTCCGTCTGATAAGAACTACAGAAAGTGTGTGCTTGTATGAGAGGGTGACAATGAAACGTGACTACTTTATAAACAGACTGGTCTCATAGATTAGACGTAACATAGTAAAAATATGATATGTTACGTTTGGTATGGTTAAATAAGATGGATGGTTACTTAAGGCAAAAGCGAAAGTAGAGTGGTTGGTCAGGGTGGATGGGTAGGCTTATAACGCAAACGTCTAGCAACCCAAAGGTTGCGATTTCGAATCTCATCAGGGACAACTTTAGTATTTTAGCTAATTACCAACTTTTCAACTACTTACCACTTTTGAGCTACTTTGCAACTACTTAGCATGTTTTATAACCCTAACCCTAACCTTAACCCTTTTAGCTAACCCTAACCCTAACCCTAATCTTAACCCTAATCTTAACCCTTTAACCTAACTCCTAACCTTAACACTAACATTAACCCTAACCGCTAACCCTAACCCCCTAGCCTAGCTAACGTTAACCACCTAACTAGAATTCGTAACATATCATTCATTTAGCAAATTAGTAACATATTGTACATTTTGTAAATTCGTAACATATATCACGAATTGTAATTCGTAAAATATCATACAAAATTGGCGATTGACATCCACAAATTAATACATACCATACGAAACGTAACATATCATACTAAATGGAGTGTCTCGGATTTATGTACAGAATAATACGAAATGCTCTGAGACCAGGTTGGTATAAAATAATGCACCTCCATAAGCCAGTGAGTGACAGAGAGAGCGAAAGACACACTTCACTTCCATGAATGAATGCCTGTGCCCTATCATATTGTAGGTTAGCATTTTTCATCATTAATCTTGTTCTGGAGGCAATTCTGCTGAGTGGTCACTAGCTAGCTCAACCTCAAAGTCATAAAATCAGATTTTAAACCTAACCCTAACATTAACCCTAACCTCAACCGCACTGCTAACCCTAATGCCTAACCCTAACCATAAAATAAGACCAAAAAGCTAATTTCTGTTTTCATGAATTTTTACAATACATACTCTTTTGAGTTTGCAGATGGCCTATCTAAGTGGAAATAGCTCAGTTCTGACTCAAGGACAAGACTCACACCACTAAACATGCTTTCATATCTGGCCATAGGCTCCCGTTATAGCGAGCAACAATACAGATGTAGGATCTTAATTTGATCACCCTGTTGCAGGAGAACCTTCCTGTAATGCCACAAATGTAAAACGTGTAGTGTAAAAACATTTCCACTGAAATGTCAGACTTAATTTTCCCTTAGGAAAAATTTATCAACCCCTACAAAAATGTATATTAATTATAATCCACATAATAATTCACATTCCCTGTTGCTGCTGTAGCAAACTGGCTCAAATTAAGATCCTACAGCTGTACAGTCAAGTGCATGGCTCTCTACAATGCCCTCGTAAGAGTTCAGCGGCAGAGCGTGCTGAGCGGTTCCCTCGATCGTTATTCTTGGATCACTGATAATCTGTGCACGTGAAGACAGAGAGAGCTGCACGTTATTAAAGGCTATCCAATTCCAAATATACCCAAATGCCAGTCTCGTTCTCCAGTAGGCTATTATGTATTTGTATTTGTATTTGGAGGACTGTGGGCACTATCATGTCACAAATAATGTTTATAAAGCTTGTTTAAATGATACATAATAGGTAGTAGCTACATTGTACAGTAGCCCATGCCAGTTGTCATCTCCAAAACCGCCCAACCCCTGTGCGCACCTGTAGCACACCTCACCATGGGCAGAACCAGCTTGACAATGGCAATCACAGCTATCCACATCGTTACTTTTGACAATTTGGCAATTGATATTTGTCGAATAAAACAACTTCTATAAAGAAGTACATACGACAAACAACACAAACATTTTAGGAGAGTAGTAAGGGATGATTTCAATTCCGTTATATGGCTAAACTTGTCACAAAATATCGCCAAGCTCATCAAGTTTAACAGTTAAACCTGAAATATTATTACATTTCACAATGTGAAATATTTGAGGTACTTACCCTGCAGTGGTTGACTCTACAACAAGTTGAGATGACCGACGAGAAGAAAGAATAGTCACTTACCGCAGCGTTGGACTGGCCACTTCAAATACAGCCGGGATAAACCAAAGACGTCAGCATAGTGGAATCCAGGCAGAATTAAATATACCAAACGATAACATTAGCATAAAGCGAGCTTTCTACTTCAAATACATTTATTACAAACGATTTTGATTATAAAGAGGAATTAGAATATATGTTCGACATACATGCATGACATTAACGCATTTTAAGCTATTGACAATCTGTCACCGCTTTTCTTCACATTGTTGTGTAGTCCAAGGATGGTTATCCTATTATACATTTGGTGAAGTCCATCACCTTTTACTGTCGTCAGGTCAAATGGAGTAACGAGTTTGGGATAAATTCATATGCACAGCAAGATATTGTTTGTCAACACTTGTGAACTCAGATAATATTAATTACATTTTAACAACAAAGAGAATGTCTGCTCCCAAGAAAGGTGATCATTCAGCAGCTGAGTCGGAAATGTTTCAGGTTGTTGCTGCAGGTAAATTGCTTGTAGATTTTTTTGTCTGACTTTGGTAAACATGCTTTTCTGTTGTTTTCCTTTTTTCAATGCATTTTGCCACAATATTGTCTTGCATTGTCACACAAATATGATTTTAATTTTTTTTTGCTTTATGCATTTTCAGTAGGCTACATTTTTTATGTAATAATGTTATAGTAATAATTTCATTAGCCTAGGTTACTTCCCATAGTAGTCGCAATATCATCACCAACATAAATTATGACAAATTAAATCATTTTATACCAAACTGCTTGAGTGCACCTGTTTTCACAATCACAGTTTCATGCCAAAACCTAATTTTAGAGTTTACCTATGTGGAGAGAATGAGAGATTGCACATATCATTTATAAGAGAGATTGTATGAGATAGAGGTATTGCATGTTTCAATCTATATCTAAAATCTATATTCTGTGTGAACCAGGTGATGTGCAGGAGGTTGCAGAGCTGCTGGGCTCCAAGGATGTCAGAGTCAACTGTCTGGATGAGGTATGGGTGGGGCTAGGGAGTCTGGTTGTGGAAAACTCTGACAAAGTTACCTGTGTTGTTTGTGTCATTTGTCAACGCTAAGATGAGATTTGTCATTCTCTTTAACAAGATATCATTGTACCAGATCCATACACTAGCCACAATATCCCTGAGATGTTTAGAATATTATAAACTATAACTGTCACTTAGTGAATTTCACAAAAGTCCTCTACACATGCACGCTAATAGTTTTGACATGGTTAGTGACACAAACAAACAGAGTGATGTAATTGGGATGGTGTAGCCATTGAGACATGTATAACATTCTGTAGGTGGAGGCCTGCAGCATATGTTTTCCATTGTTATGTAGACATATGGCTGAGACTCTAGAAAGCAGGATGCAGTCCTCCAGGACGTTCCATAATAGCATCACGCTGCCACTAGATGTAACCCACAGACTACTTCAGACCACGTCTTTGTGTGTGTGTGTGTGCGGGGGGAGCAGGATGTTCAAAAAACAACCATATCACAAGTGTGTCCAGTCTGTCAGAATCAGACGGAGCAGCAGAGCTTGACAGTATATACCCACACAGTCTCAGTCCGACCTTACAACACCACACAGTATAGCGCTGACATAACTGTCAGATGTTTAAGTACTGTGTGGAGAAACACGTAACAATGACAGTCTCGTACTTCTGTAGCACTTTATTTTACAGTACAGAAAGTACCAGGTATTTACTATGGTAATTACACAGTAATAACCTATGATTTACTTGTTTGCTTCTTTAGTATTTGTTAAAAAAAGCTGTTACCAGGAGGCTATGAGGTGAATACCAGTAGAATCAGTACCCTAAATGATAATATGATCCTTTCCGTCTCTCCTCAGTATGGCATGACCCCCCTAATGCATGCAGCATACAAGGGTCAGGCAGACACATGCCGTCAGCTGCTACAGCACGGGGCAGACGTCAACTCTAATTAACATGACTATGGATACACAGCCCTCATGTTTGCTGGACTCTCAGGTTAGTCCAGGGCAGGCATCCTTTTTCATACAGCATATACTGTACATTTGCCAATATTTAAGGACTTCATAAAACATTCATAACCCATACATAACTCATTCATAAGGGCTTCATAAGAATTTAATAAACAATTACACTTTGCCATAACTTGCCCTTACCCAGGAAAGACAGACATAACGTCCATGATGCTGGATGCGGGTGCAGAGACAGACCTGGTCAACTCAGTAGGCCGCATGGCTGCTCAGATGGCTGCTTTTGTGGGTAAGGCAGTGATCACCTTAAACTTATTTTCCTGCAAATACTCTGCTTTTTGGTTACTTTTTCTGAATTGGCTGAATTTAAAACAAAATAGATCACAGCCCTGATGTCAGTCCCCTTGTCACAAACTGTTGTTTATTATGATGATTATGAAAATCAAGATGATGATGATGGTAATGATTGTGATTATGATGATTGTCCTTACTCTCAGGCCAGCACGACTGTGTGACAGTGATCAACAACTTATTCTCTGGAGCGCGGCTGGAGTACTACACTAGACCTCAGGGGCTGGAGCGAGAAGCCAAACTGCCCCCCAAACTGGCCGGACCTCTTCATAAGATCTTCATGACCTCCAACCTCAACCCTGTCAAGGTGGAGATATTATATTCTACATTGAATTCTAAATGGTTCTTATCTAAGGGGGAAGTAAAACAAATAAAAATAAACTCTCCTTAAAGCTCTGTGCACTGCACACTCTACGAGATTGCTTTTAGTGTGAGTGTTTATGTAAAATTGAGAATAAAATGCATTAAAGGATATATTTTTTGTAATTTTTCTACTTACCCTGAGTCAGATCAACTCATGGATACCATTTGTATGTCTCTGCGTGCAGTTGGTAGGAAGTGGAAGGTCGTTTCTGAAGCCATTTCTAACTAGCGTTAGCTCAATGACTGGACGTCCACCGGAGCAGCTAGCAGAAACTACCTTCAACTTCCTTCAAACTGCACGCAGAGACATACAAATTGCATCCTTTAGTTGATCTGACTCTGGGGAAGTGGAGTGTGTTGACCATGTTGTTAAGACACTTTAGATGGCCAGAATGGTTTCCAGGAACCCAATGGGCTTTGATTTACTACATTTTCCCAGTAGTCTAAGGGTGCTTCTGAAATGACACCCTATTCCCTATTTAGTGCACGTTGATATCTTTGACAGTTATGAGAGTGGGGATGGGGGGTACATTTGATTATGGGCTCCCACCCCCTTCCCCCTAAGTCCCTCTGTTATTCTATAATTCAACTATGGCTTGGATAGCCTAGTGCCCTTTTGAATTCCATTCCCTGCATGATCAACCCTCACCTGCTGCAGGCTGCAGTCACACGCCCCATGGTGCCGCTGCCCGCTTTAGATCTGTCTAAATATATCTATCTGTCTGAACATGAACGCAGGACACAGAGAGAGATACCACTGTAACACTCTCAGACCTGTGCTGTATTAGCCTGCTGGCTAAAGTCATGTTTCAAGTTTCAAGTGTTATTAGTCGTATGTACAGGATACACATGTTATACACCGTCCAATGAAATGTTTACTTAAAGTCATGTTACGGTCAGGGTAGTGCACCAATGTACAAGAAAAGTCAGATCTGTTTAGGCTGTCTAACCAACTGCACACACCTGGTGGCTGTCATATGTTTAGATGAGATAGCCTAGTTATTTTACAAGTGTTTTTCTGAGTCAGTTATGAAGTCATAGGAGAGTGTGTTTATTCAGTAGCATACCAAGTGACCAGTCAGTACTCAGCCTGTGGTTTCTGCCACATTGTCTCTGTGAAGGTTAGTGCTTCTTTACGTAATAGGACTTCAATTTGTTGAAACATTGGAAAGTGTTCATTTGTTTCTCTTAAACAGCTTTGTTTGACATTGGGAATCTCTTCTCTAGAACATGAGCTGTGACGGCCTCGCTCTCACACACTCTTAGAAAAAAAGGTTATATCTAGAACCTAAAAGGGTTCTTCGGCTGTCCCCATAGGAGAAAAAAAAACAAAAACAAAAAAGGTATTCGTTTTGTACTCTTCTTCCTCTCTCTCGCGTTCTCTCTCTCCCTCTCTCTTTCTAACTCTCTATCTCTCTCTCTTTCTAACTCTCTTTCTCTCTTGCTCCGTCTCTCTCTTTCTATCATTCTCTGTAACACTTTCTACCTCCCTCCCTCCCTCACCCCCCCATCCCCCAGCTGGTGCTTCTGGTCAGGGAGAACCCTCTGCTGGTGGACGTGGGAGCATTAGAGAAGTGTTACCATGTCATGGACCTGCTGTGTGAGCAGTGTGTGAAGCAGCAGGATATGAACGAGCTGCTGGCCATGAAGATGCACTACATTAGCTATGTGCTGCAAAAATGCATGGCCTTCCTTCTGGACTGTGATGACAAGCTAGATGTGCTCATCAAGAGGTGTGTGTGTGTATGTGTGTTGTCACTCTCCATGCATCTTCTTGTTCCTCTTGACAGTGGTTGCTGTGACTGATTGCATTGCTAGCATTCTAACCTGTACCCATCCAATTGTATTATTTTCTGTTGTTGTAAACATTTCCAGACTAACAATTGGGTACTAATTGTTGTGTTTTATAGTGCAGTATATTGCATGCATGCTGTGTGTAAACTGTATAGACAGTTCCCTAGTCAATTTCCATGCTTCATTGTCTTTAAAATAATTTGTAATTTGTATGTCTCTTCTCTCAGCCTGTTGAAGGGGAGGGATGGAGATGGTTTTCCTCAGTACCAGGAGAAGTTCATTAGAGACTGCATCAGGAAGTTTCCCTACTGTGAAGCCACACTGCTGCAGCAGCTGGTCAGGAGTATCGCACCAGTGGAGATCGTGAGTGAACTTCCAGTCATTCATCCAGTCAAACCTTCCCTTGACTTAGGTCTCATCCAGTGTAAGGCTCCTCCTATGGACTCAATCATGGACTCACGTAATTTGTCCCCGCGGGAAATTAACCAATTGAAGATTGACTGGATTACGCAAAACATGTTCAATGTTTAATTTCCATATTAAGGAGTCCATGATCATTCTCAATGAATTCTGATTATATTGACAATTGATGTTATTACAAATGCCTTTCTGTATGGGAGCGTTCACTGTTCAATGTTTAACATTCCATGTTCCACTGCTTCTCTTGTCTTCAGGGTAACGACCCGACAGCGTTCTCGGTGCTAACCCAGGCTCTCACGGGTAAGATGACCTTCATAGACACTGAGTTCTGGGCTACGTGTGGAGAGAGGGGGGCAGAGAAGAGATGTTCCCTCTGCAAAATGGTACGAAAACCACCTCCGAACTCCGATACAGAAGCACATGGTTTCTCTCATTCGTTTCCCTCTCTATTACTTTGGTTACACTTAATGATAACGTTCATGAATACACCGTTCTTATATGCTTATAAATGCTTAATAAATGCTAATACATGTTTTCTATTACTACTACTACAGGTGACGTACTGTGGGTTGATGTGTCAGCGACTCCACTGGTTCACCCATAAGAAGATCTGTAGAGGACTGCAGGAGAAGGATACCCCGAGACTGAGGGAGCTCAATGGTAAACTACACACTCCTATCTGTTGAAAACACATACAGTAGGTTCACTATAGTTATACTACAGTGTGCTATGGTACTCCATACTGTACATGCTTTTTAGCCCAGGAATAGGCTTATTCTGGGTTTGGGATACTGACCTCTAAAGCCGGCTTTACTACTGGAACTTGTTACATACTTGTAGCTTTGTGGCGCCTTCTAAGGCCAACTTTAAACCATTTTCCCCCTTTCCTCTCTATCCTGGGTCCAGATGAGGAGAGTGACATGGTGAAGGAGACAGCCAGCTTCCTGGCAGAGCTGTGCTTGAAGGCAGAAGAGCGCATGGCGTCATTAGGGTGTCCCATTCCCTCAGCGCCAGACCAGCTGAACTGCCCCTCCACATCCTCAGAGGGACCACCATCCTGCAACCAGGAATGAGAGGGACTGCTGCTGTTCTTTTTCTACTGGGTAGTTAATTCATTCATTGATTAATATTACTGATTGGCCAGAGTTCAGTGATATTAATAATGAAGTTGTATTGAATATTGAATTGAATTGCTTCCATTCACCTGGTTTCTGAGGTCTGAATCAGTCCCTGATTAAAGGGGAATGATGAAAACCAGAACATAAGCACTACTACTGATTGGCCAGGATGTCCAGATTGAAAGAAAGGGGCTAGTGAGGGAAAGGGGCTAGTGAGGGAAAGGGGCTAGTGAGGGAAAGGGGCTAGTGAGGATGAACGCTTTACTCACCAGGCAGCTGGAAGGACTGTTAATATGGACCCAATGAGGTCTATTCTGTTTAGGATAGGGGAGGCTGAAGTATTCAGGGTGTGAATATGATGTACAACAGCATATTGGCTGCGTTTACATAGGCAGACCAATTTTGCCGATAAATTGTCTTTTGACCAGTCAGATCAGATCTTTTGCCAAAAATTGGGCAAAGGATCAGAATTGGGCTGCCAAGTGTAAACACAGCCATTGAGCTGTAGCTGTATTGGTTTTAATGTGCTTTGCTTGTTTGCATGTCTTTTGAGCAAATTCGTTCTCTTCTTTCAAATGTGAGCCTTGAATATTCTTTAAGTAATGTCTTGAAATAACAATTTAATCTCTGACCGTAGTAATGTGAAAAATGCACTCATGTTGAAATGGGACCATCTTACTGAACAATACATGTCATATTGTTATTTTTTCATTATTGCAATGGATGAAAAACACAATATGAAGGGCTTATTTATGTGTTATTCTGAACTTGCTATAATTTGAGAATTATATTATCATTATTGTTATGTTCCCTTTGTTGACTCATGAATGTCTTACCAGTGATGTATCCATACCATTCCATGTCACATACAGTGGGGTAAAAAAGTATTTAGTTAGCCACCAATTGTGCAAGTTCTCCCACTTAAAAAGATGAGAGAGGCCTGTAATTTTCATCATAGGTACACGTCAACTATGACAGACAAAATGAGATTTTATTTCTCCAGAAAATCACATTGTAGGATTTGTAATGAATTTATTTGCAAATTATGGTGGAAAATAAGTATTTGGTCAATAACAAAAGTTTCTCAATACTTTGTTATATACCCTTTGTTGGCAATGACACAGGTCAAACGTATTCTGTAAGTCTTCACAAGGTTTTCACACACTGTTGCTGGTATTTTGGCCCATTCCTCCATGCAGATCTCCTCTAGAGCGGTGATGTTTTGGGGCTGTCGCTGGGCAACACGGACTTTCAACTCCCTCCAAAGATTTTCTATGGGGTTGAGATCTGGAGACTGGCTAGGCCACTCCAGGACCTTGAAATGCTTCTAACGAAGCCACTCCTTCGTTGCCCGGGCGGTGTGTTTGGGATCATTGTCATGCTGAAAGACCCAGCCACGTTTCATCTTCAATGCCCTTGCTGATGGAAGGAGGTTTTCACTAAAAATCTCACGATACATGGCCCCATTCATTCTTTTCTTTACACGGATCAGTCGTCCTGGTCCCTTTGCAGAAAAACAGCCCCAAAGCATGATGTTTCCACCCCCATGCTTCACAGTAGGTATGGTGTTCTTTGGATGCAACTCAGCATTCTTTGTCCTCCAAACACGACGAGTTGAGTTTTTACCAAAAAGTTCTATTTTGGTTTCATCTGACCATATGACATTCTCCCAATCCTCTTCTGGATCATCCAAATGCACTCTAGCAAACTTCAGACGGGCCTGGACATGTACTGGCTTAAGCAGGGGGACACGTCTGGCACTGCAGGATTTGAGTCCCTGGCGGCGTAGTGTTTTACTAATGGTAGGCTTTGTTACTTTGGTCCCAGCTCTCTGCAGGTCATTCACTAGGTCCCCCTGTGTGGTTCTGGGATTTTTGCTCACCGTTCTTGTGATCATTTTGACCCCACGGGGTGAGATCTTGCGTGGAGCCCCAGATCGAGGGAGATTATCAGTGGTCTTGTATGTCTTCCATTTCCTAATAATTGCTCCCACAGTTGATTTCTTCAAACCAAGCTGCTTACCTATTGCAGATTCAGTCTTCCCAGCCTGGTGCAGGTCTACAATTTTGTTTCTGGTGTCCTTTGACAGCTCTTTGGTCTTGGCCATAGTGGAGTTTGGAGTGTGACTGTTTGAGGTTGTGGACAGGTGTCTTTTATACTGATAACAAGTTCAAACAGGTGCCATTAATACAGGTAACGAGTGGAGGACAGGGGAGCCTCTTAAAGAAGAAGTTACAGGTCTGTGAGAGCCAGAAATCTTGCTTGTTTGTAGGTGACCAAATACTTATTTTCCACCATAATTTGCAAATAAATTCATAAAAAATCCTACAATGTGATTTTCTGGATTTTTTTTCCTCAATTTGTCTGTCATAGTTGACGTGTACCTATGATGAAAATTACAGGCCTCTCTCATCTTTTTAAGTGGGAGAACTTGCACAATTGGTGGCTGACTAAATACTTTTTTCCCCCACTGTATGATCCACAAATGGCCCAATGACTATATTAATTTTAATGCTGGCCAACCCTTTACACCCAAATGGCTTGTGTATTGGTTTCCAGTTTTACATTTTCAATCACGTCAATAAAGAGTGCCTTAATAATTGTCCTTCACTGTCCATTTTGTTGTTATGGGGACATTCCCAAATTGTAGTTTTGACACTAGATGGCAGCATTCCCCATTAATGCCATCAATTGCACTGATTCTGATTAGTGGTAATATAGCTAAGGCACTCTGTTGGCAGGGTTCAAAGGGGACTGGAGCATGATGGTGTATCTGCTGAATCTACAGATCTATACAACATGCTGTCAGACTTTCTCTGCAGAGAGTGAGCATTCTCTATTTCTGAAACACAAAACAAAGATCATTCCAATGACCAATTCTCACAGTGCAGACAGTCCTTGATAAACAAATGCACTAACGTTAACAGTTTGGACACACCTACTCATTCAAGGCTTTTTCTTTATTTTTACTATTTTTTACATTGTAGAATAATAGTGAAGACATCAAAACTATGAAATAACACATATAGAATCATGTAGTAACCAAAAAAGTGTTAAACAAATCAAAATATATTTTATATTTGAGATTCTTCAAATAGCCACCCTTTGCCTTGATGACAGCTTTGCACACTCGTGGCATTCTCTCAACCAGCTTCATGAGGTAGTCACCTGGAATGAATTTCGATTAACAGGTGTGCCTCGTTAAAAGTTAATTTGTGGAATTTATTTCCTTCTTAATGCGTTTGAGCCAATCAGTTGCATTGTGACAAGTTAGGGGTGGTATACAGAATATAGCCCTATTTAGTAAAAGACCAAGTCCATATTATGGCAAGATCAGCTCAAATAGGCAAAGAGAAACGACAGTCCATCATTACTTTAAGACATGAAGGTCAGTCAATACGGAACATTTCAAGAACTTCAAGTTTCTTCAAGTGCAGTCACAAAAACCATCAAGCGCTATGATGGAATTGGCTCTCATGAGGACTGCCACAGGAAAGGAAGACCCAGAGTTACCTCTGCTGCAGAGGATAAGTTCATTAGAGTTAACTGCACCTTAGATTGCAGCCCAAATAAATGCTTCACAGAGTTCAAGTAACAGACACATCTCAAAATCAACTGTTCAGAGGAGACTGTGTGAATCAGGCCTTCATGGTCGATTTACTGCAAAGAAACCACTACTAAAGGACACCAATAAGAAAAAGAGACCTGCTTGGGCCAAGAAACACGAGCAATGGACATTAGACTGGTGGAAATGTGTCCTTTGGTCTGGAGTCCAAATTGGAGATTTTTGGTTCCAACCGCCGTGTGTTTGTGAGACGCGGTGTGGGTGAACGGATGATCTCTGCATGTGTAGTTCCCACTGTGAAGCGTGGAGGAGGAGGTGTTTGGTGTGGGGGTGCTTTGCTGGTGACACTGTCTGTGATTTATTTAGAATTCAAGGCACACTTAACCAGCATGGCTACCACAGCATTCTGCAGTGATATGCCACCCCATCTGGTTTGGGCTTAGTGGGACTATCATTTGTTTTTCAAAAGGACAATGACTCAACACACCTCCAGGCTGTGTAAGGGCTATTTGACCAAGAAGGAGAGTGATGGAGTGCTGCATCAGATGACTTGGCCTCCACAATCCCCCGACCTCAACCCAATTGAGATGGTTTGGGATGAGTCAGACGGCAGAGTGAAGGAAAAGCAGCCAACAAGTGCTCAGCATATGTGGGAACTCTTTCAAGACTGTTGGAAAAGCATTCCAGGTGAAGCTGGTTGAGAGAATGCCAAGAGTGTGCAAAGATGTCATCAAGACAAAGGGTGGCTATTTGAAGAATCTCAAATGTAAAATATATTTTCATTTGTTTAACACTTCTTTGGATACTACATGATTGCATATATTTTATTTCATAGTTTTGATGTCTTCACTATTAGTCTACAATGTAGAAAACAGTAAAAATAAAGAAAAACCCTTGAAGGAGAAGGTGTGTCCAAACTTTTGACTGGTACTGTACATCTACCAATATTTCAATTACTCAATTGTTGACCTTTTTTGTTGGCAGCCTCCTCTTGGTTGCTATGCACATCTTCCAGAGTGTCTTCAACACCATCTATAGAATAACTCTATAGTTTCCCATGGCCAAGGGCAGGAAAGGGGCCCTCTTGGACCATCTTCTCACACAAACATCAGATACATACATCAGGTAGTTAAGTCCTACGGCCATGCTGTGGAATTCTATAGACCCCTGTCTCTGCTTCCTGTCAGCATTGTTCTCAAGGTTCCACTGCCCAGGGTCCCACGGGAGAACAGACAGTGGCCCATGCCTCTTATGGCTGCTGCTGCTCATAGTGTGTGTGTGTGTGTGCGCGTGCGTGCGTGCGTGCGAGTGTGTGTGTGTGTGGTTGCTGCTCATAGGGGCCAGCTAACTAAGGAGCATGGTGCTGTCGTGTTGCCTGTCTGTCAATACAGCCATAACTCACTAGTCCCCCATCCTCCCCACTCCCCTGTTTCCCCATCCACCCCATCCCCCTATCCTCCCCACCCCACTGTTTCCCCATCCACCCCATCCACCCCATCCCTCCATCCCCCATCCCCCAATCCTCCATCCCCCATCCCTCCATCCCCATCCCCCATCTCCCCATCCCTCCACCCCCATCCCCCATCCCTCCATCCCCCATCCCCCATCTCCCCATTTCCATCCCCCATCCACCCAGTCCCCCCATCGTTCAATCCCCCCCTGTGTCCCCATCCACCTCATCCCCCATCCCTCCATCCCCCCTGTGTCCCCATCTACCTAGGGATGTAGTTGGTAGAGCATGGCGTTTGCAACGCCAGGGTTGTGGGTTCGATTCCCACGGGGGTCCAGTATGAAAAAATAAAAATAATGTATGCACTCACTAACTGTAAGTCGCTCTGGATAAGAGCGTCTGCTAATTGACTAAAATGTAAAATGTACCTCATCCCCCATCCCTCCATCCCCCCTGTTTCCACATCCACCCCATCCCTCCATCCCCCAATCCCCCAATCCTCCACACCCTCTCACCCCCCCCCATCCCCCTGTTTCCCCCTCTATTATCTCTCTCTCTCCTCACCTATATGTCATGTCACTCCGAGGGCTCACGGACGCATAAAAGGATTGATCTCAAATTTCCGGTTTTTGAGATGTAAAAATGTGCGAATGCTGCCTGTGTCATGGTATCATATAACTTTGATAGTCCTCTTTTAAGCCCCCAGGTTCCCTCTTCTCAGTTTACCCCTCACCCTCATCCATTCCCTCCCCTTCTTCCCGACAGTATGACTAACATTGCTTTTTTTGGGGTAATAGGAGATTGTTTGGACAGCGGGTCTTTTAAAAAGAAAGAAGAAATAAGATATGAAAAAGAAAAGCTACCTGTTTAACAATATGGCATGAGCCTGGACAGTTTTACAGTGGATTTATTTTCACTCTTATCAAAGGAGGGGACATAGCTGAGGAGACATTGGGTGAAGTCATTGTCAGGGCAGCCCTGGGAACGGAGTGAAAACGGACACTCTGGTTCTTAGGGGCAAGGAGTTGGCAGGATGAAGGGATGAATGGAGGGATGGATGGATGGATGGATGGAGGGATAGAGGGAGGGATGAAGGAGGAGATCTAAACTTTTGTCTTATTCTCTGATTTGGATAATGCATCATACATCATGTTGGTGAGCTCACCTGAAGCACTTGACCTGCAGAGATGGAGAGCTCACTGGATGAGAGAACACAACATGAGAACTACAGTAATCACAAGCTCTGGTCCATGGCGTTAGCGCTTTCCTCTAGAAAAGCACACTATCGCCCTGGACAAGAGCTAAGCACTCACCTGGTCTGACTGCAGGGTCTCCAGCTGAGCTTCCTTGCTAAGCCAAATCAATCCTTTCAGAAAATGAATATAATTTGAACTATAAATTTACAAATCAACATTAAATAGAGTATCAAAGAATATGCCTCGGGCATGTGGCACCCAAAACATTTTTCGAGAACTCTTTGATTGTCTACTTATGATTTGCATACATTAATTCAATTATTAATACATTATTTACACACAGTTACCTGATGGTCAACAAACCAGTATTATTACCAGTTTATTATCAGCATTTATATAGGTGTTGATCCTGTTTTATCCACTGTCAGTGGCCTATCCATAGAGGACAGCAACGTTCATCAAACTATATCGGTAGAAACATCTATTAATTGTCTGTCTGTATGTTGACTCAACTAACTGGTAGGCTCTGTACATAGTACTTGGAGGAGTACACAAGCTGTAAAAAACGCATTTCCCTTTGCTTCAGTGGGCGTAGCTATGCGTGAAAACGCCTAGTTCATTCAGAAAATGTACGCACTGCATGCGCACTAACATGTTGTGCCAAAACAAGAGGCGGGTATATAAGCGACTGAACGAAAGGTAAAGTAACATCATAACGATATTATTCCTCCTTTAGATCGCGGCACATACATTCTCGCACTCTATCTACCTGCCTGCGGAGTGCCTACGGGGAGGTGCAGAGATGCTTCTTACCACGAGTGGGTACCAGCTTGCGCTATTTTGCCTTCTGATAAGAAGCTGTCAAGCTGTCAAGAACGGCGCCACGGAAAAGTTAAACGCTCAGTTAATAAGTACGGTCCAGGATACACCGATTAGTAATGTATCAATGAATCAAGCACGCAACGGAGGAAGGCGTTTGACCAGCGATGCGGGGAAAGGTGAGTTGCATTTTTATTTCAAATTGATTAATTCAACAATTCATAGTTGACCAAATAGATTCATTGTATTCACTGATCCTTTTAGCAATAGGTCAATATGTCTATTGCTAAAGTATTGATGATATAATATTGGAATTATATAATTCCATATATAGGCACATTTTCCATAGACAAAAATGGGAATTAAATCAAATTAAAGTTGAATCATAGACTTGAATGGGAGACTTGAGTGTTTGAATGGGAGAAAAGTTCAAAGTTCAAGCATTTGGAATTGTGTTGGACTTCTTGTTAACTCCTGCTGCACATCAGATTACCCTGACCATGCCACAGTATTTGCATGTCATTATCATTTGAGGAGCGTTTATTTATTTTTGAGTTAGAATTTTTGGGATTACTCTATTTTCTGCCTAAAGGTTTGACAGCAAGATTCGTTTTTGACAATATGTATCTGACAGAAGGTAACACTCTCTCTCTCTCCATCACAGAGCAGGGCCAGGCACAGAGCCAAGTGGGCTGCAGAGAGCTCCGCTCCACCAAGTACATCTCAGATGGCCAGTGCACCAGCCTGAACCCGGTCAAGGAGCTGGTGTGTGCTGGAGAGTGTCTCCCCTCCCACCTACTGCCCAACTGGATCGGCTCCGGCCCCGGCTACACCGGAAAGTTCTGGAGCCGGCGGGAGTCCCAGGAGTGGCGCTGCGTCATCGACCGGACCCGGACCCAGCGCATCAGACTGCAGTGTCAGAACGGAAGCTCCAGGACCTACAAGATCACTGTGGTTACCTCCTGCAAGTGTAAACGCTACTCCAGGCAGCACAATGACTCGGGGAATGGAAAGTCAGAGGTGGAGGTGGGGCAGGCCCAGGGGCAGAGCTCCACACCCCAGGGGCCCAAGAGGAGGAATGAAAAGGAAGGGAAGGATGGACGTTCTGGGCAGGAGGACTGGGCTGAAGAACAGCCTAAAAATTACTGAACTGAGCTTTCTGGTCAGGGGGGCTCTGTACACCTCTGAAGGGATGGAAAGTCTCTCTGTGCCCCCACTTCAGAAACAAATGCAGCACCAACAGACACTAGTTTGTTTAGATGGAGCCAATGTGTTCGCTGTGTTTAATGCAGCTATATGGAGGAGGCTATGCAATGATTCCTCAGACAGTGCAACTGGTTTGCCAAATATTGACCACTGTGGATGTGTTTGTAAATGTATGTGTTTTTGTATGCGATAGAATGAGACTAGTTTAAATAGCACAAGAACCACATTAGACAACGTAAGATGAAGTGTTCCTATCAACAGCTGAATATGTTGTCCAAATAATAATGTTTAGAATAACAGAAAATGGCATAGTATGTATATAAATAGTGATTCTATACTCTTTATGTTACTTTTTAAAGTATACTAGTAAAGAACAAGAAGGCCCACACACTCTTTAAGCTCCCAATTCACCTCTTTATTGACCACGTTTAGATCCGAAACTGAGTGCTCACTTCCCAAAATATACACATTTCACCTTTATGCACATGACGCATGGTGGGTGCAAAAACAATTTGTGTATCTCTAATAATTTGATATCAGTGAGATTGGCACATGTAGTATTTCCAGAAAATAATATATATTTACAAAATGACCAAGCAGGAGACCTGGAAGGCAAAACAAATCAACGTGACATATTCGTGTAAGAAATGGTCTGATATCAAACTCATGGTTCAGACCTTTAGGAGACATGATACACAAACGTTGAATCCAATACAATTCTCTTCTCAATAATAGATTATCAGTATCTCCCCCCCTCCTAGGAGTCTTAACATGTTCGATACCAATGTATCTCAGAGAGCTAATGTTGTGCCGAGCCTCCATGAAATACGCAGCCACAGGGTTTCTCTGGTCAAGGGTCCTGATATTACTCCTGTGTTCTGCTATCCTTGTTTTTAGAGCCGTTTCATTTTTCCTACATAGCATAGACCACAAATACACTTGATCAGGTATAATTTTTTGTGGAACACGTAATGATGCCCTTTACCTTAACATTGTGCATTTGTTCGTAAAGTTACACTGGGTACATCGGCCACATCTATAATTACTTATGTAAAGGATTACTATGACAATGTAATATATTTTTGTACGGGGATAGCTAAACTTAATAGAAATAAGTTAATATTTTTTTTATATATTTGCTAGATTCCATGTAATCACTTTCAGGACAAATTGTGTCTCAAATTATTTGCCTTTGGATAATGAAATAAATATTGTCTACTATGATTAAATATTAAAAATGACTTTTCTTTAATAATTAGTATAATAATAATTTATTTACTTGTCAATAAATTGTGCTTTAATCATTAGTAATTAAATGCTTTGAGCATGAGGCCTTAGACAGAGGAGCTATTACTTCACAGCAAACAGGAAGTCAGTAACAACAGAAGCATTAGCCAGTGATGAAATGTTCTACTGTGTGTAATAGAAACAGTACTCTGTGCAGGAATCCTCTCTCCTTCAGGCTACTGGGCCTGTTCCAGTCAGCGGCTACATGTTAACATACATGATTGTATCAGATATCCCTTCATTGTATCACCATGAAAGTTACCTCTTCCTCCAAGAGCATTGGGAACCCTTGATATTCCTAGATAGGGGATGACAGCTAGTTTTGGTATTAGGACAGAGTGGTTCTAAAACTGACAGCACCAGAGTGGTGCATTCCAGAAGGAGGAAGAAGCATAGGGAAATCATGTCTGTGAATCTCAGAGCAGAGCTTGCGTTATTGACACAATAATACAAGGCTTGTAAAACTTCCTCTCTATAATTATCCCTGACTACATATTCTCCTCCTGAGTAGCAGTGATGGTATAGGACCACCTACCTTTAATTTGAATTGTAACTACCACAAACACGCTGTTTCTTACAAGAAACTGAAAGTGATCCACTGGTCATGGGCCACAGGCCACGTTTCAACTCGTATTTGCGAAATCAATCGGATACCCTTAAAAAATTATAGACATTGTCCGACAATCTGCAATCATATTATTAACTCATCCCCCCCCCCCTCTCTCTCTCTCGATCTATGTCTATCTACTCTATTCTGTTGTCTCTCTTTGTCTCTATTGTCTCTCTTTGTTATCTATTGGTATCTCTCGTCGATATCTGTCGCTTCTTGTGTCTATCTCTGTCTCTCTATGTCTGATCTCTCTATATCTCATCTATCTCCTCTCTCTTCTCTCTACTCTCTCTCGTCTGCTCTCCTCTCCTCTCTCTCTCTCTCTCTCTCTCTCTCTCTCTCTCTCTCTCTCTCTCTCTCTCTCTCTCTCTCGCTCTCTGTTCAACCCTGGCTCTGTGTAGGACCATAAACTATTACACAATCTCATAATCACATGCTTATGGAAGCAGTTCTGAGTCTCAGCCTTGTAATCTTGTAATACTGGACTTGTATAGAACTCCACATCCTGTCGTAGCCTGATGTCTCACACTGATAGAACTGCATTGAATGCTTTCCCAGGAAATGTGATGCACCTTTCTACTTTCTACCACCAGAACCTATACCTGAGAAACCAGGGTCATGTTCATTAGCATCAGAAGAAACAAGGACTAAATCAGGGAGGGACAACTTGGACTTCATACTATTCCAATCAGAAACAGTCATTTTCGTTTTCCATTTCAAAACATTTGTAAATGTTTCCTTTTCTATGGTGTGCCCAACTGAACTCAACCAGGGGGTTGATATGATGAATGGTTGGTAGGTTGTGACCTTCTCACCCCAGCAGGGTGCTGGGCAGGTGGGCGTCGGAGCTGAACTGAGCTGGGTCCATCTGGGTCCATGTGGTAACGATCCATTATAATGAGGCCCAATTAATTATGACATAATTTCTGCCAAACCAGAGTCTCTCTCAGAGCCAATGCCACTACTGGGCTAATCCTCCCTGTCACCAATAGAATACATGAGGATACATGTGGATACATGGGCTAGCAGCTCTCATGATCTGACACTGATCTGACACTGATGGGAAAAATTATCAGTCACAGCAAGCAGCAACACTCCATCAATCCAGCTCATTGCAACCAAACATCGCATCCCTTTTGCACAGCATAGAGCATATTGGTCATAGTCAAAATAAAATGACTGCTTCCGGAATGGCACCCCTGTTTAAAGTATCTAGTGCACAAATAAAATAAAATAAATTAGAATTAACATTTGTCCAGAGCCTTGTAGATGGACGGCGAGCCAGGCGGTCTCCGTGTGTTCTGATTCTGAAACCAATAGCCAGGGTGTCAGGGAACAGCTGCCTAATTCTCAGAGAGAGAGGAGTTTAATCTCTGCGATGCACACGCACACCTGATTCTAATTCCTGCAGGATGTTACACTGGGATCTCTTCATCCAGACCATACATAATCTGCCCTGCTAGAGCATCATCAAGAAATGATATAGGCCAGCCAGGGGATGTAGGGGATAGTGGGGTAAGTTGAGTCTTGTGCCAAAGGGGTAAGTTGAGCCACCGTTGTTTCTAGGAAACCATACACAAAATGTATCATTTGACCAAATATTTAGGAAGACTTCATCATTTCATGGAGTCTGTGAAGCAAGAAACCACATGGAAAAAGTGGTAAGCAAGTTACATCCAAAAAACAGATTTTCACAAAGTCAAATTAATGTATTGTGTTACAGGTTTCATGATGCTTGTATCTAAACCAAAGTAGATCATTTTAAGATCGTTCTATACATCAGTTGGGGTCTAAAAGCTTTAATATGAGGTCCTAAACCTAGCATGAAAGTACACCTTTGTAGCTGTGTAGACTAATATAGTCAAAATGTTTGCCTTGGGGTAAGTTGAGCCAATGGTTGAGCCAATGGCATGTTGAGCAAATTGAAGTGTTTTCTTCCCAGCTGTAATGCAAGGCATTATCATTGAGATATGAGGTAACTACAGAGCCTATGTTAAAGGTGTTTAAAAAAGTACAACGTTTTTGTTAGGTGTTAAGCCTGTGATTTGGTATTTGTAGTATTTTATTAGGATCCCTATTATCAAATCAAATCACATGTTGTTGGTCACATACATGTGTTTAGCAGATGTTATTGCGGGTGTAGCAAAATGCTTGTGCTTCTAGCTCCGGCAGTGCAGTAATATCTAACAAGCATTATCTAACAATTTCACAACATTTTTTACATTTTACATTTTAGTCATTTAGCAGACGGTCTTATCCAGAGCGACTTACAGTTAGTGAGTGTATAATTTTTTTTTCTTCTCATACATATACCCAATGCACACAAATCAAAGTAAGGAATGAATTAAGAATATATACATATATGGACGAGCGATGTCAGAGCGGCATTGGACTAAGATACAGTAGAATAGTATAGAATACAGTATATACATATGAGATGAGTAATGCAAGAGATGTAAACATTATTAAAGTGTCTAAGATACCGTAGAATAATATAGAATACAGTATATACATATGAGATGAGTAATGCAAGATATGTAAACATTATTAAAGTGGCTAGTGTTCCATTTTTTAAAGTGGCCAGTGATTTCTAGTCAATGTCCATTAGCTGTTGCAAAAGCAGCAGCCACTCATCCTGGGGTCTACACAAAACATGAAACATGACATAATATAAATAAGTATTTGACCCCCTCTCAATCAGAAGGATTTCTGGCTCCCAGGTGTCTTTTATACAGGTAATGAGCTGAGATTAGGAGCACACTCTTAAAGGGAGTGCTCCTAATCTCAGTTTGTTACCTGTATTAAAGACACCTGTCCACAGAAGCAATCAATCAATCAGATTCCAAACTCTCCATCATGGCCAAGACCAAAGAGCTCTCCAAGGATGTCAAGGACAAGATTGTAGACCTACACTAGGCTGGAATGGGCTACAAGACCATCGCCAAGCAGCTTGGTGAGAAGGTGACAACAGTTGCTGCGATTATTCGCAAATGGAAGAAACACGGCCTGGGGCTCCATGCAAGATCTCACCTTGTGGAGTTGCAAT